CACACATTTTTTCAAACTTGTGTTATATTGTGATATATGTACAGGAATCCTCCAGGCTTACAAGATGACCTCTCTGAAGAATTAAGTTCATCAAGATCCAGTTTCTGCCTCCCAACACCACTCCGTTACTTCATCCCATGGACCAGCAAGTTATTTCGAACTTTAAGAAGCTCTACACTAAAGCACTCTTCGAGCATTGTTTTCAGGTGACTGAAGGGACCAACCTCACTTTCAAAGAGTTTTGGAAAAATACTTCCACATCGTTACCTGCCTCAAGATGATCGACAAGGCGAGGGAAGGGGTTACCAAGAGAACTCTAACTTCTGCTTGGAAGAATTGTGACTTTGAGGGGTTCGAGACAGTACCTGTGGAACCTGTAGTCATGGGATTGGAGATGGAAAACAGTGATATCGAAGAACTTGTGGAAGAGCACAGCCAAGAGCTGACCACCCAAGAGCTTATGGAGTTGCACTGTGTCTCACAGCAAGAAGTTTTGGGGACACGTTTGTCAGAGGAGGAGGTAACAGAAAAGCAACAAATAAGAGAAATGCTGAAAACATGGCAAACTGTGGCATCTTACATTGAGAAGCATCACCCTAATAAGGAAGTGGCTATGCGCGTTGCAAATTTATTTAATGATAATGCTGTGTCGCATTTTCGCCAAATTTTGAAGCGTCAGCAAAAGCAAATGTCACTGTATATCTTTTTAGTAAAAAATAAATAATTAGCTATCATAATTATTTTTGTATTATTATAATTATATTTTTTTTTCTTTCTGCAAATCGAATTCGCATTCAAGGTGGGTTCGTTCCGCGTTTGAAGAAAAGATGAAGATGATTCACTCTCCTGAACAATATGTATACAATTTTCTTTGAATAAACGTTTTACATAGCATTTTGAGAGTATTTTGTCGACATGGAACGCATTATTGTATTTTACATTAATTTATATGAGAAAAACGAGTGTTTTGCTTAATAATGAGTATGATTCTGGAACGAATTATGCTCGTTAAGCGAGGTTCCACTGTATGTCTTAGGTATTACAAGAAAGACAACCTAAAATTGGCTACTTTCTCAATGAGTCTGAAGGGTTGCTTCCCCTAAACAAATAATGAAGATTTAAATAAAAAAATTTAAGCTGCAGAACACATTTATCCATCACCTGCATGTCATGATTTCAGTTTATAAGGTTTACGGATAGCTTTGACATGAATTAGACGTCACGAAAATTATTTAATAAATATATATATATATATACATATGTGTTTTTTCTTCTTCTCTTCTCTACTTATGGAATGCCTCTAAGCGTCAGTAGAGGAAGCGATCCCGGAACGGACCTTTCTGTGCGCTTCGTATAAAATATTTTTCAGTGTCTCTGATACTTCTGTGGTCCATCTTCTGCGTGGTCGACCTCTGGCTTTGTTACCTTTGTATTTGTATAACATCGCTCTCTGTTACATGACCAAACCATTGCATTTGTTGTCTACCTATAAAGTTCAGTATTGGATGAATGCCGACTCTCCCTCTGATATCATCGTTCCTTAGTCGATTTCAACGTTACACTTAGCGTAATACGTAAACATTTCATTTCTTTTGTGACTGGCTTTTTTCTGTCTGAAGACAGTGTACATGTTTGACATGAATAGCATAGAGTTGAAAAGAATATTGTATTAAACAGTGTTCTTTTAGTGTTCATTTTCACATGCTTGCATTTCAGAATGTGTGCAATTTGGCCTAAAACTTGTTTGGCTTTATCGCATCCTTCCGTCCTTCGGGAAAAAATGGACTAGATATGTAATATATCATCTTTTTGTTTTCCATAATTGTTCATAAACTGCATTTAAAGTGTTTTATATTTGTATAGTTAAAACAAACAAAAAATTTATGGGTGGGGGGGGGGGGGGGGGAGGGAGCGGGTAGTGGGGGGGGGGAGGGTAGAACCGAATATTGTTACAACTTATATTCAATGGGACGTCAGTATCTAGTGGAAAGCATGCTCCAGTGTGAATAAATCTGTCAGTGCTTTCATTTATTAAATTATGTGTGTTTAAAAAAGAATTAATTTATTTAATATTGATTACTACATACATTTGATGGGAGGGGGGGGGGTAGGGTTTGGATATTTTGGATATATTGCGACAATCAGGAAGATCCACGGTAAAAGGGAGAGAGAGAGAGAGAGAGAGAGAGAGAGAGAGAGAGAGAGAGAGAGAGAGAGAGAGAGAGAGAGAGAGAGAGGCAAACCAACAGAGACTATGACGAATGAATTTCGACAGTGACAGCGAGGGATGCCATCGGTAGAACTGATCCAGAGGACAAGGGCAGCGATCTGTGTAGAAGCATGAAACGACCAAGCCAGTCTACAGGGCAGGTGGTGAAGATCGTTTTCAGTATAAACCAGGCACGGTCTTATTCAAACTTTTTAAAAAAATGCTTTTATTTGTAATTCTCTCCCTACTTATTCTGTTAAAGATACTGCAGAAACATCATCTTTCTTAACTTATCATTTTCTGTGCTCATCAATCAAGGAATCAATCAAGGAATCAATCAATCGATCGATCAATCAAGGAATCAATCAATCAAGGAATCAATCAATCAATGAATCAATCAATCTATCTATCTATTTATCTATCTATCTATCTATCTATCTATCTATCTATCTATCTATCTATCTATCTATCTATCTATCTATCTATCTATCTATCTATCTATCTATCTATCTATCTATCTATCTATCTATCTATCTATTTATCTATCTATCTATCTATCTATCTATCTATCTATCTATCTATCTATCTATCTATCTATCTATCTACCTACCTACCTACCTACCTACCTACCTACCTACCTACCTACCTACCTACCTACCTACCTACCTACCTACCTACCTACCTACCTATCTATCTATCTATCTATCTATCTATCTATCTATCTATCTATCTATCTATCTATCTATCTATCTATCTATCTATCTATCTATCTATCTATCTATCTATCTATCTATCTATCTATCTATCTATCTATCCATCCATCCATCCATCCATCCATCCATCCATCCATCCATCCATCCATCCATCCATCCATCCATCCATCCATCCATCCATCCATCCATCTATCTATCCATCTATCCATCCATCCATCTATCTATCCATCTATCTATCTATCTATCTATCTATCTATCTATCTATCTATCTATCTATCTATCTATCTATCTATCTATCTATCTATCTATCTATCTATCTATCTATCTATCTATCTATCTATCTATCTATCTATCTATCTATCTATCTATCTATCTATCTATCTATCTATCTATCTATCTATCTATCTATCTATCTATCTATCTATCTATCTATCTATCTATCTATCTATCTATCTATCTATCTATCTATCTATCTATCTATCTATCTATCTATCTATCTATCTATCTATCTATCTATCTATCTATCGATTATTTCTATCTATCTATCTATCTATCTATCTATCTATCTATCTATCTATCTATCTATCTATCTATCTATCTATCTATCTATCTATCTATCTATCTATCTATCTATCTATCTATCTATCTATCTATCTATCTATCTATCTATCTATCTATCTATCTATCTATCTATCTATCTATCTATCTATCTATCTATCTATCTATCTATCTATCTATCTATCTATCTATCTATCTATCTATCTATCTATCTATCTATCTATCTATCTATCTATCTATCTATCTATCTATCTATCTATCTATCTATCTATCTATCTATCTATCTATCTATCTATCTATCTATCTATCTATCTATCTATCTATCTATCTATCTATCTATCTATCTATCTATCTATCTATCTATCTATCTATCTATCTATCTATCTATCTATCTATCTATCTATCTATCTATCTATCTATCTATCTATCTATCTATCTATCTATCTATCTATCTATCTATCGATCTATCTATCGATCTATCTGTCTATCGATCTGTCTGTCTGTCTGTCTGTCTGTCTGTCTGTCTGTCTGTCTGTCTGTCTGTCTGTCTGTCTGTCTGTCTGTCTGTCTGTCTGTCTGTCTGTCTGTCTGTCTGTCTGTCTGTCTGTCTGTCTGTCTGTCTGTCTGTCTGTCTGTCTGTCTGTCTGTCTGTCTGTCTGTCTGTCTGTCTGTCTGTCTGTCTGTCTGTCTGACTGTCTGTCTGTTTGATATAGCCTTGTAGAAAAAAATCTTTTTGACTTAAAGTTCTGCTTCTGTAGTATGCATTTCTTTTATTATAGATTTGGATCCTTGCATTACAGAAACAACAGTATCCCTGTATATGCAGATTTGCTTGGAAGATTTTAAAATGATTAAAATGTGCTACAATACTTTGGTGACATTTGAAATGGTGTCAGTAGTTTGTAAGAAATATTTGTGTGATGCTGGATAAAGATTCACGATAATCTAAGTATGGTTGACGTATTTTAAAATAATTGATGCTTCTCTGGAAATTGCTGAGAAAATCAATATGTGTGACTGGAATATTTCAATTAGATCTGATGTGAAAAGTGGACACCAGGAGGCTCGTGGGAAAGTTAGGGAGGGGGGTTACAACATGGAGCTGCTTTACATGACCATTTCATTAAGGGTCAGTCCGGGTTAGTGCCGTGATGAAGACCCCAAGAAGTGAACAAACGTATGGTAGGGTGAGAAACAGGTGCTTTTACCCTACTAACGCGCAGTTCATAGGAAAGATGTTTTCTTTTTCAAAGAAATTTTTTTGTAATGGAAAGCACTATTTGAGAAAGATTTTCTTTGATAGTTTTTTCAAATACATGCATGTTTGTATTCGCAGAGATTTAGAATTCCTAGAAAGAAACAACGTATACCTACTTGTATGGTAAATCACAGACAAAAAAGGGGAATAATTTAATTTTAGATTTACATATTATCAGCTCATCTCATCTGGTTGTTTTCCGGACAGCCCTGATGAAAATATGTATTTACAGATCCATTACTTTTGCGGTCTTCCCCCCTCTTCACAGGGACAGCATTGATTTTGACAGTCTCTTGGAAACCGAAGGCTCCTGCTTCACGTGCTGTTTCTCAAAACAGTTCTGAGGCAGCTGGGTGATAAAACATGATAGCTCAGATTCTGGCTCTGCTTCAACTAGCAATGAATCCTTTTTGACTTCAGGCGTTCTCAATGCACCAGTCTTCCCCAGTCTTCCATCGGTTAGGCTACTGCTGCTTCCACGAAATCTCTTCCCGCAGATGCTTTCTTTGGTTGGTTTATGAAGCATGTGCCCTAGTTGAAGCTGGCTCACCTCTTCCTCTGAAAGCCGTATTGTTGGCATTGTAGAGCTCTTAAATCTGGGCGTCTCTTTCTCCTGCAGGACTTCTTCCCAAATGTTTCTCTTCTTTTTGGTTTCGAGGGTGAATGCTTCAATGGTAGTTAACATAGACGGAGTTTTACGTCCAGTTCGTAAAGGACGCATGTATCCTGGTAACTTAGGAATTTCAGAGTCTTTTCCCTCATCGCTTTCGTAAAATGCCTGCAATTAGAAATAATGAACATATTAAAGTCGAGTATCTATACAGAGTCTCCGTAGCAAAGTTGTTAAACCCACTGCCTAGTTTCCCGAAGTTTCTGAGTTCGATTTCTTACTACGTCTGACACTTCGTAAGAGCACATGCTTTGAAAACCATGTGTGAGGGTTTAGCTGATTCACATTTCGAGCCTTGTGCAATGCTCCTTCGGCCGATTAGTCAATCTGCGGATCAAGACAAAGCCATAGGGGATAAATATAGTTTTACTTCTTCTTAGCGTTCGCCAACTGTTAATTCAGGTTGAAAGTTATGATTGTTCGTCCACTTCTGAACGTTAGTCATATTCCAGAAATCTGATATCAAAGTAAACACCCCTACTAAATATCATTTTACGATGTGCGTGGAATAAAGCATAAAGTAAAAAATAAATCGGGAGATGTGAACCAGCGTCATTGTACACAGTTATAAACCATACGTGCTCTGTCACCAGTACGGGCAGCTGATAAGAATTGTTCGCCTGTGTCGCCGTTCTCACGTAACTCCGTAGCTACAGCGACGTTCCTCCATTTACCCCAGAGTGTCAACTAAGACGTCAAATGTTTAGGAGAGTTGATTCAATATATTCTGGAGTAATACTTGGAGTCAACATCCAATTTAGATAAGTGCCATAGTCATTTCTTTTACTCTGAGGATAGCAGTTAATTATTGGGCAACACACTACTGATGCCAAGAAGAAAGCAAGGGATGGCTATCTTGTCAAATCAACCATATCTCGTTGCTAATCAATTTTTTTTTTTACTAGGGTTGTCCCGAAAAGGCAAGCTGATTCTCTGTCATCTTTAAAGCATTTGTTCCGCGCTTTTAATTATGATGCACTCATCGCTCCTCCGCTAAAGCCTTGTAAATTTCCGGAATATTTTCGGCACAGGAATGTTAAAGCTTAACTCAACATTTCATGCAAATTCATTCCTCTATTTCTTTAGTTACTTTGAATGTGACTTGGTAGCAAAGACATAGAGCTTCGTGGCAATGACTCAGAACTTGGTGGCAAATTCTTTACACTTAGTGGCAATGACTTCGGACTTGATGGCAATGATTTGGGACTTGGTGGCAAAGACAGGACTTTGTGACGATGACTTGGGACTCGACCTGAGCAACAACGAAATTCATAATATGTTTACATCACCACTGATCACTGGCATCATGAGAGCTAATAGATTTAAATGGTTGGGGCATATTGAAAGAATCTCAGATGACAGAGAAGTAAAAAGTGTATACACCAGGGAGATGAATGGCCGTAGACTACGAGGGAGACCAAGAAGACGATGGCGAGATAATGTCCAGACAGACCTGCAAACACTTAGTGTAACCAACTGAAAAGAGAAGGCCAACCAGAGATATGAATGGAGACGGGTGATATCTGCAACAATGAACCTCAAGGGCTCGGAATGCTGAAGAAGAAGATGAAGACTTTGAATGCGACGACGGCATAAGGCATGTGTCGACGTTTAGTGGTAGCCCAGTTTGGTATAGCGACCTCATCACCACTAATGAATTCGTATGATAGGTCACTGTCTGTAGCAACCAAGATTTTTTAATCTCGTGTAGACCTCTATCTTTTATATTAACTCGTGCTACCCCCCCCCCGCCCCAACATACACAGGAGAGCCTTCGAAAGCGGTAAATTCTACTTCCTATGTTGTGTCAACGAAAGACCGTGTATTGGATGTATGACACACACACACCTGCTTAAATACAGCCTTAGTCTACAGCATAAACCAGGAATCGAAAATATCTTTTGTCGTGCCATGCCAAATTATTCAAGGCAGCCACTAAGCGTATCAATCGAATGCCACCAGGACTTTATATACAAGGCTTATTAAATAAAATACTTTGATCATTGAAAGAATTCTAGGCTTCAATATGTTTTGAAAGAAATCATGTAACGTACGTTAAGTCACGTAAGAGGGCCATTATAGCACGTCTCACGTGTCGAGCATGACACACTTGCCGTAGGTTTCATCCAGGGACTGGCGATTCAACTTGTGACTTGTGGCTTTGACAAATTGGTAGACTCGTTCTTCGTAGCCAGCCACTGTGAAGTCCACTTTATATATATATTTATATATGGCTATCCTCCGAATAACGGTAACAAAAGATGGCAACCGCCAAAACATCCTAACAGAGCCTCAGTCACGTGTCAATCGCGCACTTCCGGCGACTTCATTTGCGGTTTTCCAGCGACTACCACCACCGCCGAGATTATCCCTTACGCCTCTCATGCGGCGTGGATTGGGGCTAAACTAGATGGCTGGGACTCACGAGCAGCAGCTTCCGCATCTCCTGCAGCTTTGCTCGTTAGTCCTAGTTATCTAGTTTAGCCCCAATCCACGTCGCGTGAGCGGCGTGCGGGATACTCTTGGCGGTGGCGGTAGTCGCCGGAAAAACGCAAAGTAGGTCGCCGGAATTGCGCAATAGACACGTGACTGAGGCCCTATTTTTTGGCCGCCATTGGCCGTCATCTTTTGTGCCCGTTATTCGGAGGATAGCTATATATATATATATATATATATATATATATATATATATATATATATATATATATATATATATATATATATATATATATATATATATATATATACATATTCATATATAGTTGCTGAGTTTTTCGGACTGCCACTGGCGATTTTCCCCCCACCTTTTTTCCATAAGCATTGTCCCATCCTCTTGACATCCTCTTCACTCTTTTTATCTGTCCAGTGTATTCCCATCATCCGTCTATAAAAGCACATCTCCACAGCTTCCAATATTCCCATCATCCGTCTATAAAACTACATCTCCACAGCTTCCAATATTCCCATCATCCGTCTATAAAACTACATCTCCACAGCTTCCAATATTCCCATCATCCGTCTATAAAACTATATCTCCACAGCTTCCAATATTCCCATCATCCGTCTATAAAACTATATCTCCACAGCTTCCAATATTCCCATCATCCGTCTATAAAACTATATCTCCACAGCTTCCAATATTCCCATCATCCGTCTATAAAACTGCATCTCCACAGCTTCCAATATTCCCATCATCCGTCTATAAAACTACATCTCCACAGCTTCCAATATTCCCATCATCCGTCTATAAAACTACATCTCCACAGCTTCCAATATTCCCATCATCCGTCTATAAAACTACATCTCCACAGCTTCCAATATTCCCATCATCCGTCTATCAAACTACATCTCCACAGCTTCCAATATTCCCATCATCCGTCTATAAAACTATATCTCCACAGCTTCCAAATTATTTTTCACTAATCTACCAACTGTCCATGATACACTTTCAAATATCTAGATATGATTTATGTAGCTTTTAAGAATTCTCTTTCTGGTCTCAATTGACAAATCTAAAGGAATGTATTTCACTTGAAACATCCACATTTACTTGACGGAAGCGATTTGTAGTAGACCGTTTTTTGTTAATTTTGACAAATGTGTGAGCAATGTGTCGTTTAGTTAGCAATACCAAACTTCTAAATAAATAATTGCCTAGCAACTAGAAAAGCCAATAAATGTGATGCACTGAAGAGATCATCATCATCATCATCATCATTATCATCAGCATGTAGCACAGCAGTTCTCAGCTTGTAGGTCGCTACCTAATTGGGTGTCGAAAAACCCTTTCTCAGGGGTCGCCTAAGGCTTTGGAAAAAGACATATTCACTGAAGTAGCAAAAAAAATAATTGTATAGTTGAGGGAAAAAAAAAAGGGGGGGGGGGGGGAGGGTCACCACAACATGACCTGAGGAACTGTATTAAAGGGTTGCGGCATAAGGAAGGGTAAGAACACTGATGTAGCAGGTAATTTGCAGAACGTCGCTCTCATCACAACTCTCTTGATAGAAACTCGGTCCTTCCGCATGCTCTCTCCTACCCAATGTGTCTGTGGAACGGAGTTCGTGCATTGAGCTTGATACCTTCTTCGTTAGCCATTAAAGAGAGATTTAGAATTAAAAAACATACCTCGTTGGCTACTGGAGAAGGTGACGACGCACTACGGGAATGCCCCGAGTGCAGTGATGCCAATTCTTGATTCAAAAATTCCTTCACATATACTGAGCAATAAAAATCAGTAATTCTCTTACAGGAAGCAGCTCAACAAATGTGACTAGTTATCAGTGACGATGAGGCAGAATTTCCTTTAATAACAAACCAGGAAAGGATAAACAGGGAAGGATAATAACTCCTTTGGAAAACAAATCAATAATATGAAAATCAAACGAACGGAAACATAAGATTCCGTTGCAAACTTCAACTGCTTTAAAATGTTAAGAGAAGAATAGTCTGGAAATAAAGTATACTATGCCCTTCAACATCTACTAAAATCGAAGTCTCTGTCTAATAATATAAGATAAATCCAGTTGTTTTATATGGCTCTGAAACTTGGAGCACAGCTAAAATGGATTCAACTTTCTTCAAATATGTGAAGAGAGTCCTAACTTTTAGACACATCAAAGATTCAAACAGCGGGGACTGGAGAGTGAGAAGCAACAACGAAATTCATTTGCTCCTATCTGATTGAATCACCACTGAGTACTGGCATAATGAGAGTTAATAGACTGAAATGGCTGCGGCACATCGAAAGAATGTCAGATGACCGAGAGGTTAAAAATTGTATACACAAGGGAAATGAATGGTCGTAGATCATCAGGCAGACCAAGAAGACTGTGGAGAGATAATATCCAGACAAACCTATAAACACTTGGTGTCACCAACGGAAAGCAAAGGCCAACCAGAGAGATGAATGGAGGCGGCTGATATCTGCACTAGTGATTCCCCCACGGGCTCGGAATGCTGAAGAAGAAGCCTTTAGTGCTTGTCGGCTCTTACCCCTCTTTCATGGTACCACATCTTCTGCTATTTAATCTTTCAAACAGCCAAAATGTATCAGCTTCTGGTACTATATGCTGTTTACTAGCCAATCTTCATTGATGTTCAGATCTTTTAGGATGTCATAATTTTCTGTTTTCTACTGATCTGAAGAGAACATGTAGCTTATTTAACTTACATGCTCAGAGGGTGACCTCTCTACCAGTATCAAAGGCTCAAGTCGTAGAGTTCTTGATCCTTTCATGAAGATCTCCTGTGCTTGTTGATGTGTAATCTCTGTCCGTCTTTTCTCTCTAGAATCAATTTCAGGTATGGATTGCATTATTAAATAAAAAGTAAGTTAAGTAAAGATCCCTTTACACGCCAAAGGCGTATCGGGCATAAGGGAAGAGCACCCATATTTTTACAGACCACCGGCACTAGGTGGGTAATGTAGTCAACATTACGCCGGCCACCCTTACTTCCCCAGGACAGCCATCCTGGTACTCATTTTAGGCAGGGTCAACTATAATAAAAATCCACGCAGTCAGCAGTGGGTTTTGATTGCGGTACATTGAAATTACGATTTGGACTCGCAACGCCAAAGCCACTGATGCCTCGCAATATTAAATAGGCATTTTTTATAAACCCTTACGGTATCATTATTTGAATGCATATTAATCATTCCGTTGGATTTTACACAGAGCTGTTGAATAATTATTATGCACAGGTGAACAAACTGGAAAACTAGAACACAATACTAACGTGTGTTGTTATAAACTGGTCTAACAGAGTTGTTCATTCGTTTACGGCTGGATGAAAAGGACACAGGAAACTGTGGCATATAAAGAGAGACAAAAAGTTGTGTACATTTACATGTTGATACATGCTGCAGGAGATCGCAGGTTATGGAGAGGCATGATCGCCCACGCCAGTCGGCAAGGCACCTGATGATGATGATGTTGATGACATTTACATGGTGAGCAAGCCGACACTGACAGATGGAACTCTCTCCGTTCCAAGATATGCTTGATGTACAGGCTATACTTCCTGAATCAACCATCCATTTTTGTGTCCTCTTAACATTTTATATTTGGCCAGAGCGTGCTAAAGCAATTTTTTTCCCAGTGGCTACTTCCAGTCTACATCTAACTCTTTTGATAGTCATGCATTCATACATTTCGGCGTTGGTTAATTTCACTTTTAGACGTAGTCTGCCAAAACCTGTCGTACTCATCCGCCATCGACAGGTCAGATAGGTTATTTTATGTAGCCTTTTGGGGACATTATAAAACGTTGTATACAGTTGAACTTGACGTTTTGGATTTGCTCCTATTGAATAGTAGGTGTTTGAGTCACTGTGTGTCAGACCCAGAAAGTATCATCATTAATCAACAGGTAAAACTGTTAGGTCAATTCAGTAATAACATAATGGCTAGCTTATTTGGCTGTCGCCTGTTGGTCATGTTGTCAAATGACATTGAGATTGAGTTTTAAAACTGATCTAGTTTTTTTGGCAGACTTATCCTAAAATGAGTACCCAAAAAATATCTTAGGAAGTATAATGGCGGATGGCATGATACTGAGCATGTCACCCAATGAGTATCAATTGATTTATCACCCAGTGAGTGTCAATTGGTTTATCACCCAGTGAGTATCAATTGGTTTATTACCCAGTGAATATCAATTGGTTTATTACCCAGTGAGTATCAATTGATTTATCACCAAGTGAGTGTCAATTGGTTTATCACCCAGTGAGTATCAATTGATTTATCACCCAGTGAGTGTCAATTGGTTTATCACCCAGTGAGTTTCAATTGGTTTATCACCCAGTGAGTGTCAATTGGTTTATCACCCAGTGAGTATCAATTGATTTATCACCAAGTGAGTGTCAGTAGGTTTATCACCCAGTGAGCGTCAATTGGTTTATCACCCAGTGAGTGTCAATTGGTTTATTACCCCGTGAGTACCAATTGGTTTATCACCCAGTGAGTATCACTGGTTTATCACCCAGTGAGTATCATTGGTTTATCACCCAGTGAGTGTCAATTGATTTATCACCCAGTGAGTATCAATTGGTTTATCACCCAGTGAGTGTCAATTGGTTTATCACCAAGTGAGTATCAATTGGTTTATCACCCAGTGAGTATCAATTGGTTTATCACCCAGTGAGTATCATTGGTTTATCACCCAGTGAGTAACATTGGTTTATCACAAAGTGAGTATCATTGGTTTTTCAACCAGTGAGTACCAATTGGTTTATCACCCAGTGAGTATCAATTGGTTTATCACCAAGTGAGTATCAATTGGTTTATCACCCAGTGAGTACCAATTGGTTTATCACCCAGTGAGTATCAATTGGTTTATCACCAAGTGAGTATCAATTGGTTTATCACCAAGTGAGTATCAACTGGTTGATCACCCAGTTAGTATCAATTGATTTATCACCCAGTCAGTGTCAGTTGGTTTATCACCCAGTGAGTATCAATTGGTTGATCACCCAGTGAGTATCAATTGGTTGATCACCTAGTGAGTATCAATTGGTTTATCACCCAGTGAGTATCAATTGGTTGATCACCCAGTGAGTATCAATTGGTTGATCACCCAGTGAGTATCAATTGGTTTATCACCCAGTGAGTATCAAATGGTTTATTACCCCGTGAGTATCATTTGGTTTATCACCCAGTGAGTATCAATTGGTTGATCACCCAGTGAGTATCAATTGGTTGATCACCCAGTGAGTGGCAATTCGTTTATTATCTAATGAGTGGCAACATGTTTATCAGTCAGTGAGTGGCAACTTGTTTGTAAACACAACGGGCTTGAACTAAATGTCTAATCTTAAGAAATGACAACATGTTCATTTTTATTTTAATTCAGACGAAATAATTAGACACTAAGATTAAATGCTTTATTATTTCTGACCTGTTGAGTTTCCCGATCCTAGATCCTAGACTTGTATCTTGTCTGGTTTGGTTATTTAAAAGACATTCGCCCATCTTGGAGTCCACCGAGGATCTCGCCGCTTCCACCACTTTGGTCTTGTCTCTGGTGGTCAATTTTGATGGCGGTTTTAATGATGCTCTCATTTCTGACAGAACGAACCCTCTCCTTTCTCTGGCTCACAAAAAAATGGATGAAACTTTTGTACCATTTACTACACAAATCACATTTACTATACAAAGTTCCGATCAAAATAGACGCTAGGCACAGGCTCTGTTTAGAGCCGAGGCAAATATTTTGCTTCTGCCAGACGGTTACAGTTGCATTTTTGCTCCATTTGTAGACTGAAAAGATATAGTTTCGTCGCCCAGCTACTGAGTTTAATGCATGGCGTGACACTGAGAGCTGCGGATTTCATTTGGAAGGTTTTTTTTAACTGTGACCAACGTGGTGGTGTGAATTGTAGATTCAGAGATTGGCGCGATTCCTGTTGTCGCAATGTTAATGGTGTCCTTGTGTGATTAAAATTGATCGCGTGTGCAGTTGCTGATATGTTGGTGACTTCTGCTACCATCAATGATGAACAGCATTTCTAATGTCGGACTGTTTGTGTTAGCACTTCGGATGGCTACCATATGCTTTTAATGCGTGTGTATGCTAGATATGCTGAGACAGCAGTCTGTCAATCTTCCCACAATGGACTGTGATAAACATTCTGTGTGTTTTTCGTTGGCACAGAAGCGGAGTAGAGATGGGGTGACCCGTTTGCTATGAAGCTGAAACTAAGATTACCGGACTACCAGACACAAGTCACACAATTACTAGCACATTGTCCGGGAAAGCAGAAAAGTTAAAAGATTTTTTTTTCTGACCTGCAGATCTAGTACTAATTCAGATTGTGAGTAGCTGAGTGGAGTTGAGTTGAGGTGAGTCAAGAATTGACATCACAGCACTCGGAGCATTCCCATGCGTGGTCCGTCCTTATCTTCAGAATACTGATGGTACCGGTCACATTCTGGTTATATATCCGTCTTGCCTTTCCTCTGAGTGTAGTGAGCCAGCCAGACCCTCAACCTACACCTAGGTGCCTCATTCTCTCCAGGCCATAAATATCTTGTTTCTCTACTGATTCCGATGCTTGTTCCAAAAAAGGCCGTAACCACATCTGCCTTGTAATATATCAATTGACCACCCAGTGGATGCAGATCTGACCAAAACATTTTTAGGAATTAAATGGTTTGATAAAATCACTGATGATGACCGGTGTGGAAGAATTGCATAGGTGCCAGTGAATCAGGAAATGAAGAAAAGACGCTTGCGTTGGATATGACACAAGAAGGGAAAACCTAATACACACAGGGACGTCCTAATAAAGAAACCAATAAATACACGGAGAAGAGAGCAAGAGAGTGACGCTGAGATAGGGAAGACATGGAGATAACAACATGCAATAGCGAAAGATTTGACGATTTGATGTTAGTTGGTGGGAAGGATATGACGACTTGATGTGAGTTGGTGGGAACCTATGCTCCACTGGAGGGTAACGAGCAGTAGAAAAGTAGGTCTCTTGATTCGATCCAGCTTCCTAAACATACCAATGTATGGGGAGGAAAGGGGCGAGAAATGAAAGCAACCACCCACTTGGTGTGTCGTTCCCTAAAACGTAAACAGTACAAATTGGTCACACCTCATTGACTGTATTTGATATGGAATTTGCTATTAACCTAATCCTAATCCAGGTGTCGAGAGAGATATAATGTTCTGCTTCTTGCTTCTCTGGTAGCACTGTTCATATACACAGTGGTCTGTTGGAGAGCTTCTGGGAAGTTATACTTTAATTTTGTTCTTAGAAGACGAACATTCGTCGGCTCTGTGGCTCAGTCGATGCGAACGCTTCGTAAATCCGGGATGCCGGGTTCGATCCCAAATGCGGGCCACGCGCCTTGCGTTAGTTTCGACAGTGGTATCAAAAGAGCCGACCGTCCATGGCAGTGGCAAACGACTGGACGTAAATTTGCCTAGAAAAACCACACAACAGCCAGGAGCTGTTAGGTTTGGTTCTGCAACGTCCTGTAAAGGATACGCAACTAACCTAGACGAACATTCAGAACTTTCCGCAGGAGTTTACAGTCGATGAACATGAAAATGAAGAAAAGGAAGAAGAAGAAGAAGAAGATAATAATGATAATGATGAGGAAGATGATGATGATGAAGAAGAAGAAGAAGAAGAAAACGTAAAAGAAGAAGAAGAAGAAGATGATGTTAATGTCGAAGAAAAAAAGAAAAAGAAGAAGATGAAGAAGAACGCCGTTTTTATGCTTTTTATTGTTGATGTAACTCTTTAGTATTACACTAAGGGGATACAACAAAAAATGCCTGCCAATATTCTAAGTATAGTTTGTGTCCGCATTTTTTAAAATTCACAACAGGGAAACAATGTTTTGAGCATCCGAAATGATCGACAACACACGAAAGAGAAGACTTTGGTTAGGCATGATTACTAGCAACCAAAGACCTGGACTGTTACAAAATTTAAAAAGATGACAATATAAACGCAACGAAAAGGATTTCAAAAGACAACTGTAAACTCACGCAATTGGAAGTCTGTGTCGCCATGGAATTGGCTGATTTTCCCGTTCCTCTGGTTTGATCAGCCCAAGTCGATTAATGGCCAAAATGTCTTTCGGTGAGCAAAATTCTGCTAGAATTGTCCTGACTTTTGTCATTTCCGAACGAAGAGATGAGCCCTTTTTGATGTCACTGTAGTCTGCAGCCTGCCAGAGCAGAAAACGGTACAAATTAGGCTTGTCACTCCATCTCGTTCGGCTGTGTGATTTTGTATCGGTTCCCACGGGCTGTCCTACTACTATGATGTAAATGTATTACATATATACAAAGCTTGCCGAAAATAGCACTGGTTCGTTCGACGAGGTCGGTACACTGTCTCCAAAAAGAAACTGTACGGCTTTATTTTCGCTGCTCTTTTCTGTTAACTAGTGTCGTTTCTGGAATGTGTTGTTATGATTAGGTCTCAGGCGCCACAGGCGACTGTGTTTAAGGAAGAAGTACTGGAGGGGAAGGCCCCCAAGGCGACGATTCGTGTGTATAGATTTATTGATGTTATTATATTTCTCCGCTCGTTGGCGATGGCTGTCATCGGTGGTGGATGTGCTTAAAAGGTTCCAAACAAGCAACACATGACACCATGTCGTGAGGTGAGCAGCCACCCTACATTATGGACGAGTCGGGAGGCTGAAGTCTCCTACGCGGACAGTCAAATTTCAAACTTGAACCCGTCCAGAAGGGTATATAGTCCCTTATATTGATCTATACCTTTATCTGGTAGAATATTCATTTATAGACCTTCTAGTTGCTTTAATAAATCTTTATTTTCAAACTTGCAACTATAGGTTGGCGAATTCTGGTGTTTTATTTAGAAATTCCCGTAAACCGGTTTACTCCTTAAGCAGGAATACAAGGGAACTTCTTTCTTAGAGACGCTAGTTTGATTTTGAAAAAAACATTCTGCCACCTGATCCCAGAGTGGCAAGACGTGTATACAGTCGAAGTAGAAATTTGGCGCATTCTAAGTTCCATTTCTATATTGAAAGATTTCGTAAGCTTGGGTAAGTTTATTATCGTTTACGAGGACCATAAATGATGTCTTTTTAAAGTTGGCCACTGCTGTAGAGAGGGCAGAGTCAGCTGTGTGATCGCACAGAGTTCGACCGTTCTTGATGTCCAGAGATCAGGATCCGAACCTTAGACCTTCCCCTGTACAGACTAATTAGTTAGTAATCTACATAACCCACACCATTTGTAAAGATATTAAACCCTACAGTAATTATTCTCTGACCAGTCAAACGAAGTTTTGTGTCGCACAACTGGAATGGGGAATTTAGGTCATTTTTAACCGGCTGTCAGGGCTAAGCTCTGAGTCAAAGGTGTGTTTGACACAGATTCAGTGGGTTTGTAGTGAGCGCCCTGTGGAGACGGAATATATATATATAGGTATTAACTGTAAACATGGTATGTCTGAGAGTGCAGATGTGAGGGTGGAGAGAGAATGATCTATGTGTGGTAGTGTCTATCTATCTCCACTATATATCTGGTTTTCTATCTGTTGCACTATGTTACAGACAGAAAAATGAAAGGAGACATTGTCTCCTGGTCTTGAGAGTACACTCTGAGGAATGGAGAAGGGGAGCAGAGTTGGGATGAGCTGATGTGTGATTAAAGCGGAAGACTAATCCTGAGTTCCTTCCTGACAGGATGATACCTCCTTAGTTGATTACTAATTCTGAGTTCTTTCCTGACAGGATGATACCTCTTTAGAGATCAGGCAGACGAATCACAGTCCAGCCAACAACCACCAACCTATACCATTCTATGCACCAAGGATAACCAGAACTCCTGCCCCTATTTGCCACTACCTCAACACGGCAAGAGCGTGTTTGTGAGCTCCAGGACGAGTAGACATTGGCAGACATCTGTGTCACCAATCTAGACAACCAGTCTTCAGAAGCTTGGTTGGGCTCAGGGGCAGTTTTGTGACCTGACCTGTGAGAGAGACTTGTTGAGTCCCTATGCAGTTCCTGTGTCCTCGATGGTGAGGTAATCAACTGGTATCAGATCAACTAGAGGCATAGATACTTGAGTCAACTACAGTCGAATCACCATGGACTGAGGTGAGCATTGACCTACGAACTAGGCTAAGTGATCACGTATTCATTATCATGCTCTCTTCCCACAGCTCCTTGAGATTCCTAGGATGAATTCATGTACTCGCCTGACCCAAGATCTGGCTGCTTCAATATCTGGATTGTATCACTGATCTCTGAGCTTCAGTCAATGAACATTCTTGAGAATCTATTCATTAATACATGTATATATATATTGTACTTATTACATGCAAACATTTTCATGGCTGACTTGGGTGTCCCTATTTCACCATTTTAACTGTCTAGCTTTGATGATTGTGTGAGCAATAGGTGTTATATGTGTTAACATGGTTATGATAGTAGACTATCATAACCTGGGGGCTATCTTTTTATAGTAGTGGGGGTGTCCAGCCAAGTGTGCCTAGGAATAATATATAATTTGTAGTGCCAAAACTTGAGTTGCCCTACTCCTGAAATAAGTTGAGCGTATATTGGCCACGGGGCATCCCTTAGACCAATACGAGCCAATCAGGCACGCGAAAGGAGTGATATGTGACACACCCCTAGAACATAGAACAGCCATTGCTAACCGCTACGTTTGAACCACTACAAAATCACGCAGCCGAAAGAAATAGAGTAGCAAACACGAGTTGTACCCAGAAAGCTACTGAACTTATGCAATGAACACATTTTAAATTCATTTTTTAAAATAAGCATCCATTACAATAAAAGTATGACCAGTTTTATCCATCTTTTATCAATCCATCTCTCTGTCCATTCGTTTAGTCTGTCAGTTTGCCTGCCCATCTACCGACTTAAATATGAATCGTTCTATAATACATTAATTCAGGAGTATACATTTTTAATTTTGGGGATTAGACAATGGTCCTTGAAACACATCCGTATGGTAGCACACACGTCGTCACAATGTTGCTTTAATCTGTTCGAAAGTGTGTGCTGGTTTTTTTAATTGGTGATTGCTCGTGATTACTTTGCTTCCGAATTCTATTTTGGAAAGATATAAAACAGAACGAAAGGTAGATCAGCGAACTTTACAATATAACAAACATAAACAAATTGTGAACGTTGCGGCTATAGTCTTCATCATCACTTGCATAACTCAAACAAAACAACATAACTGCACAAAACCACTTAGAATGAAATATTAATTAAAAGATATTTAAAAAAAAAAAAACATGAATTTTTTTCGAACTGTCAACATTATTGTTTATTGTTAAGCCAAGAAATTTAAAAATATTTTTTTTCCTAATTTCTTAGTCGTTTGTTTCAAATGTTTAGCCAGCACGTATGTTTATCTAAAAGTAAATTAGGTTAGCAAAAAGCAGCCTAAACAAAGATAGTCATCCGTGGTTAAAACGTATCCAATCATCATAAGAACACATGATTCAACTATACCTAAAACGTATCCAATCAGCCCGAACAAGCACAATCAACTGTGGCTGAAACTGACAGTCGGCCTAAAGAAACATAGTCAGTTGTGGATAAAGCTTACACATTCAGCCTAAAGAAACATAATCAGTTGTGGCTAAACCTTACACAGTCAGCCTTAAAAAAAACAGTCAGTTGTGGCTAAAACCTACACGGTCAGCCTAAAGAAACATAGTCAGATGTGGCTAAAACTTACACAGTCAGTCTAAAGAAACATAGTCAAGTGTAGCTAAAACTTACACAGTCAGCCTAAAGAAACATAGTCAAGTGTGGCTAAAACTTATACAGTCAGCCTTAAGAAACATAGTCAAGTGTGGCTAAACTTACAAAGTCAGCCTTAAGAAACATAGTTAATTGTGTCTAAAACTTACACATTCAGACTTAAGAAACATACTCGTTTGTGGCCAAAACTTACCCAGTCTTAAGCACAGCGCAGTGCCGAAATGGTAAAATCAATACATAACATATTGTGGGTTCATAGACATTTCATATTTGTGTTGGGCACAGAGCGGCAAAAAAATCCATACGAGAAAAAATCGTTGCGGGTATTAACGAACGGACATCTCCATTTTCTGCTCTTGAGTTCAATACCTGTCAAAAAAAAAAAAAAAAAACAGAATATATCTATATATAAGAAGAAGAAAGAAGACGACAATAGTATAAATAATTAATATATAAAAAAAAAGTATAATATGCATAAGTTTTCGTCTGTACACGCAAATACCTTATAAACATTGTGCAAAAATGAGTTAGTTGAATTATTTTATAATCTTCATTTTTATTTTTTTTTAAATTAATAACTACAATATACAAAGCAAGTCACTGTTTAAAAGAAACATAAAATATTACAGAGGAATTAACCGTGCAAAAATGATGTAGGTTTACATAGACTCCACACTGATATGAAAGACACTAAAACACGAATTACTATATTGGACAGAATTACTCGACTGATTATACAGCTTGTAATTTTCCTGGCCTTCATAACATTACATACATTTTGTCAACCCCTACTCCCCCACCCCCACCGCCCCCTCCACCCCTTCTGCCAGCCCCGACTGCTACATGAAATTGACACTATAAGACTTATAGAATCACATCCTAGATGTCAGTGCTGCAGGGCACATACCAGATTCTCCGTTTTAACTTCTTGAAAATTATAATTATAGCACCTGTTACAACTATACCAGGTATTCCCCTTGTGTTGCCTGCTGTCCTATGCTGGTAAGGGCGAAAGTGTATGTTAGTTAAATAAAAAGCTATTCTCCCAAACTGCTGATGGAAAGATTATTGTTTGTTAGTTCGATTTAGTATAGAATCGGCTCAGCCTAACATGGGTACCAGAAAATTACCTGGGAAGCCTTAGTTTTAGTCGAGGTTTTAGCCTCACCACAGTCGGGTTCTCCCATACTTGCTCTGTTTCTGTGCCAGTGCAAATCAAATGAAATGTCCCTCACTGTCCCATTTGGAAACAATCCAGAAATATGCGCAGGCAGTAAAGGCGTATTTCAGCTGCCTGAAGCGCCAAAGCAAAATGCCAAATGCAGCTTGTCGTTAATGAAAGTAGTCGGGCACGATAAGCTGGTTGCAATACACACGTTTGATTATTACACAAG